AGAAAAACAATGGCTACTCTGACAAATCCCCTCATTGCCTGCCTACAATGCATGCTGGGATAGACTCCAGCTCCCCACCCCTCTGAAAAGGAACTAATTGGTTAAGAAATCAATGAATGAATAAAAGCGGTCCACTATAGTAAATGAAGGAGCGGACAGGCAGTCAGGCAGGTGGGCGGATGCATAGTTCAGAACTTTGACCTGATGATTAGCGCTGCAGTGAAATGAATGTAGGACCAGACAGAACAAACAAGAGAGGAGGGGATGTGCCAGGACGGCCCGCGTATGGCACATCCGTCATCCCCTTGTTAGCATCTTGGCATGCAAACACACACATACACACACACACACACATACAGACCAGACAGCTTGCTGGGCCAGATGGCCTCTTGGTGAGGAGCATCGAGGAGCTCCACAGAAAGGGTTGGGTTGATTCATGAACCATGACCTCCACACGTCCCTCCTCCTGGCTCCGGACAGCACGTGCATACAAGAGGGATGGACAGGGATAAGATCAGCGTGTTTGTGTGTGGTGTGGTGTGGTGTGGTGTGGGGGTGGAGTGGTTATTGTGGAGATGTGGAGAGGGGATTATGCAGGGCATTGTATGTGTGTGGTGGGAGATTTACTTTCAGACATAACTAAAGGAATAGTAAAGGGGAAATAATGTGTAATGATTGACACTAATACAAGGTTAATTGACCATTAATTCAGGTTTTGTTTTATTGAGATGTTACAACCCAATTAGCAGAAAAAAAGGTTAACATTTAATGTTTCTGCAAACTGCAGATATGCTACATTTCCACAATGTTTCTGCACACAGAACCCCTTCATTTGTTAACACAGAGCTTTTTATTATGAAAAATTTGCAGGACCATGCTGCCGACAATGCAGTGGCTTACACGGCGGTGGAAAAACTGTAGTTATAGCTGCAGGAAGCGTTGTTTGTGCAAATATTGCACGTGTGCGAGCCGCAGCAGTTCCACGAGGTAGTTGTCATGTGCTGCTCACACAGGCAGCGTGGCCTGTGACATTAGGTTTTGGCACAAAACCCACTTGGTTATGGTTTGGAAAAGATCATGCTTTGGCTTAAAATACTCTGTTTGGGGGTCACAATTTTGGCAGGAAAAGCAGTGATGTCTCAGAAAAAGAAAACAACAGCACTATCCTTGCCGACAGGTCACTACAAAACACCCACAATTGGAGCCTAAAGCACAGTTCAGACCAAAGATTGGCGATGAGATGAAGCCGTTTTAGAACACTGAAGAGAAAAGTTACAGCGGTTTGAACTGGCCAGTCTGAGCTTAACCTCAAGCCAGCTGATGGTGTCGCCTGCAACTCAGCTGGTCAAATCAGTGGCTGGTTTTAGAACATAAAGCCTGTCACCTGTTTCTTCACCATTTCATCCTACAAATGCAACTGTAGCCAGTATCTCACTATCACTATCCTCATTCATATTTTAAGAAGCTACAAATCATATTCAGCCACAAAATGAGCCTGAAAAACTACAATCAGAACAGAAGTACAGAGTTGTTGCATAGAGATGATACACCATCTCATCTAGTTGCATTAATGTGAACCATCAGGTTTTTACAATGTTGCAGAACAGCACAATGCAAGTAGTTGTTTTTTCAGCTAGTCTCGACGTGAATCCTTTGTCTGAGCTGGGCTTTAAAAGTCGATGGAAACACAACAATGACTCTCTACAACACAGCCGGCTTTGTTGTTTGTTGGTCTCAAACAGTGGTCAGCAGTTGTTTGCAGCTTGGCAGGCGTCCTGTCTGGGTGATACACCATCCAACATCCCCTCCAACTCTTGATGACAAAGTCAGCTCTTGTATTATGCCACTTTTGAGACGTTGATTTGACATGTATGAAACGTGCAAATGTAACATATTAATGGTTTGCAGAGACACATAATGCCAACATTTTCTTTTGGCAACTGAGCTGCTTTTAAGATAATTAAAGTCTAAGTATTTAAAAACAATTACCAAATAACTGTACATACAAAGCACATGAAACAGATAGAAACTGATATTATTTCGATTCCTACTGAACAATGAAAGGAGTGTCTGACATCTAATGACTTCTTAATTTACGGAGTACCACTTAAGTGTTCATTAATAATTATGAAGTGTTGACAGAATCTTTTTTTATCCTTTATTTTCAGCACTTAATTGCAGATTTAAGACAAAGTACTGGATGTTGGTCTCTCTGATGTGATGCATGTGGCTGATCCTTTTGAAAGTCACATGAGTTTCAAATCTAGAACATTCGTAGAGAACTGGCATATTGATCACACTTTTCTGCATATAGCAAATACAGCTGTTACTGACTGCATGATTTTTACCAACAAAAAGGGAGTTCTGCCCATTTCATGTCGCTTTCTGGCTCAGTTTGTGTGTGTGTGTGTGTGTGTGTGTGTTCAGAGAAAGAGGAGCAGGTGGGAAATGTGGGTGTGGCGACAGTGGAGCAGATTCATCACAGCTTGGCATGTGTGTAACCGCGTGTGCGCTTCCTTTGTCCTGTCTTTTCTTATTTACCAGTGACTGATGCACACACACGCGCACACACACACACACACACACACACACACACACAGTCCGAACACGGTTGCATGATTTATTTTTATCAAATAATTTTAATTTTATTTTTACCCGACTTGAAAGACTTTTAAAATGAGGTCTTTTAAATACGCAGAGAGGGACCACAGAGGTTAAACATATTAATTAACTCATGTTTATAGTTTGCTCAGCTACTGCCACCAGTATTTTATCTGCGCTAGTAGCTGCAGGACCAAGATACGCTGAACATTAGCTGCTTGTTCACTGCTTTTTTTCTGTACCGCTGCTCATCTTTCAACATGCAAATTATCTTAACAGAATAAACAGCTGTTGATAGTGATATAGAGAATATTCTACATTGTAAATATACATTCCCTTTGGCTATTTTATGGAAATTAGGTAGAAAATTGGGGGAAGTGCTGCATTTGGGACAGTAAATAGAGACAATTTGGTGAGGATTAAAGAGTGTCAGATGCATTAGTCTCAGTATTCAGATTAAAGCACTTGCTGACAAAATGTTTGGCTTATATTTCAAGTAATATATATAGTTTATGTTGGAGTGAAATGTTTTTTTGCAAATTGTAACATTTTCGATTTTAAGGCTTTTTGTGATAAATGAGGCTTTGGTGTAAATGTTGTTATGAATTTTGTGCTCTTTATGATGATTTTACCGCCTCTTAATTTACATCAATGCATCAGGAAAACCTAATATACAGGGTTTATTTTTTTTCATTCTTGCTGGTTTGTTTGGTTCTGCTTTATTAGTTTCGGTTTTGAAGTGTTGCTGTACAGAAAGAGTAACAAGTGACAGTGTTTTCAAACTCATCGTGGATTTTCTAGGCTCTAATCTGGATCATAATCTAATCTAGATTAAAAATTTAATCCCTATTATTAAAACAATGCAGAGTGTCGGCCTGTGAGGGGGGTGCCATTGATTTTGCCGTGGGCTAGGATCAGACATAATCTGAGCATTCAGGGGGAATGGTCTGTTGGGTTAAATGATTACGTAACAGGCGTCTAAGGAAAAGCCTTAAAGCCTCGATGGTGACTGGGTGTACTGGTTGCACAGTTTGCACTAGAAGGAGAGGAGCCTTGATTCAGCCTTATCCATACAGTGTTACAGTCATATCTGGTGTATAGATTAAGTTGTTTAGAGGTGATGTTAGCAGTAAGTAACAGCAAGTAGGCATGCTTTACTTTCTTCAGCTTTCTGACTTCATATTGTTTCCTTTTCTTCTCTACAGGTCGGACATAAAATGTATATTTTTCTTTTATTAGTTATTAAAAAGTAAATAATAATACTTACCATAGTATTCAATATGACTCAGGTCACCCCTTTTGCTAACACTTTATTTGGATAGCCCATCTACTTGGATTGCAACAGTACGAAATTTTCACAGTACGATAACCACCTCGGAAAATATTGCGGTTTTGTGGTATCACAGTATTACAGAATTTATATTATTGTTTGTCAGAATGACCCTTAAAGGAATAAAACTAAAGGGTTACTGTTTGTTGAATAAACATTTTATTATTGTAACTGAAATTTAAAACCATTGTTCATGGAAGTATGTATAAAAAGTCTCTCCTTTGAAAATAACTTAAATAAAGAGAGGAAATAAAACGCCCAGTTGCATTTTTTCCCCCTCAATATTGTAGATAAGCAAATGTACACGGTATGATAACCATCAAGTTTTATATCACGGTATACCTTGAATCCGGTTTATCCCTGCAACCCTACCACAGATAGTCTGTAGAGCATTTGTAACATTTCAGCAGCTTATTAGCTGAGATTAAACAGAATGAAATTATTCTGAGAATATGTCGTGAATTGTCACATATATAGATAAACATACAGCATATAACATTGATACAGACAAAAGTAAAACAGCTGAATTGTTGAACCTCAGCTCATAGGCTGTTGAAATGTTGCAAATATCACAATCAGATAATACAGAAAACAAGCCAAGTTAGCCCTCTAAGCTAATGCTAACTATGCTAATGACAGATCAGAAATGTGCACCAACATTTTTTTTACACAAGATATCAAACAAAAAATAGAGACTATGTTGTATTAAGTTGCTGTGAGCTGTAGTTTTAACCAGTTCTAAGCAGAAGGTGGAAGATAACGTTACCTTGGAGCCTAACTGGGCAAAGCCTCACTTCCTGTGGACAGCTGTGTTGATCTTACTCAAATTCACCTTTGGTCAAGGTCTGCAGCTGCCTGTACCTGAGAGCAATGTAAAAGCGAAGGGCGCCCACTCTGCAGCACATCCCAGAAGTACACTTTACACTGACTGACAACAAAACCTCCCACAACTGCTCGACTTGAATCTAAAGTGCTGAATCTCTGTAGGCAGACGATCCAAATACAGTGTTACCCCACTTTTTTATGTATTTTAATCCTTGTGTATATTTCTTTGTGTGTGTCTCTGCAGTGCCAGATCTCCCAGGCCCTGAACGGCGTCTCCGACAAAGCTAAAGATGCCAAGGAGTTCCTGGTTCAACTCAAGAACATGCTTCAGCAGATACAGGTAACACCACTGTATTTAACACCTGTGCAAGTACACTCTATACATTTCTTTATCCCACTTCTGCCTATCTATAGCTGTAGAATAGAATATGTCATGTGATGTCAAGAAAGCTTTTAGTTTGATAGAATGAAATGTTTTCATCATCACATCATCAGTGACAAATCCTTTGTGTACTAGGAGGAGTTTCTTCACTGACATTGCCCTGGGTAGCTCAGAATTTAATGCAGCTATAAAACAAAAGTAAGGGGAGTGGTCTATCATAACCCTGCAGATAATCTCGCTTTGGCAGATCTCTGGTTTGTCTTTGTTTTGGCTTATGGTGGTCTGAAGATACTGACGCACCAAATAAATTAGCAGGCTGTTACTTAAATACACATTAGATATGACAAAATGAAGTATACTCAGGTGGAACTGGGACACACCTCTTGATTTTACCCAGGCGCCATTTCTGAAAGAGGTTGTCTCACAGCCTCAGGACGCCCATGAAGGTCTGGCTGTGCAAGATTTTACCAGAACCGATATCCATGTCTGATCAGTTACCTCCACATGTAGAGGTCTTTACATAATTTACATCAGGACTGATGTTTTTCTAGACTAAATACATATTTGCTTTGGGGAACCTGCTGGTAATGGGTAATAAGCTCCAAATAAATCAGTCACAGAGACACATTTGGACTCCTCACACTGTGCAGCAGGAGGGTAAATCCACTGAATCACCAAACTAAAACAACCCACACCAGCCAAATGTGTGCAGTGTGTGTATATATTTGTGTGTGTGTGTGTGTGTCTGTAGAGAGCAGTGCTGTGCTGCTGATCTCTCCCGCAGCATCTGCCAGTCACATACACACTTCTACACACACATACACACACACTGTCTGCACTGTCATATCTTGTCAGCCGCCGCAATGTGAACAGGCATTAAGAGTCTTATTGCAAAATGAAGAGGATTGCATTAAAAAAAAAAAAAACTCTTAGCACTACTTTGCTCTGTCTGAGAGCCAGAGATCATCATGTGGAGAGATGGGTGGATAAAGAGAAAGAAAAGTGTGGGAGTGAGGAATAAAGATTTCCAGCACTCATCCTCTTATAGATCTGAACTGTGTCCCACAGCGGAGGAAGCGTGATTGGAAATCACTACTATCTAAGACCTCATCTCCTCATTATGTGAACTCTATGCGGAGATAAAAATGCCCCTGTGGATCCTTCTTGCATTAACTGCCAGCTACTGTAGCTACTGCACGCAGAGCTACGCTGTGTTTTCTGATCTTACACTAATGTGGTTAAGATTTGGGTTCCTTCTGGCATTAAAATGATGATATTTGCTAGTGGGATTTGGTGTGATTCACTGTGCTGAGGGTTACAAATGCCATTATAGAAATAAACAGCACACCAAACTAAAGTGGAGAGCAACTACACAGAGATATTACTAAGGCTGTGATGCTACATTCATGATAAAATACAAGATAAGTTGACCAGCTAGCTTACAACGATGTGTATGATGTTTATTACAGTGGGTTAGGGGTTAGGGTTAGCTTGAAAGATGACATATGACTTGCAGATATTATTATACTCATACATCATCGTCCTGTTTTAGCAACAACCCTATCTTTTATCTTTGAGCACAAAATTAGGTTATTTATCAAAAAATATTTGGCGAGCAGCGCGGCTGGTTAACATTGTCAAAAAAAATGAAATGACCTAATATGCGAAAATACACTGGAGGGGGGCTTTAAGAATTCCAGTATGTTACTCCCATGGGCTAGAAATTTAATTAATATTTTGGGGGAAATTTGATTAATTTTTGTGAACATGAGCTACCCTCTCTGAAAGCCAGAAACCAGAGAAGTAAGTCTCAAACTTGTGATGTCATAGGCTGTCAAGTCGGGAGCTGCTCTATAGACAATGAATGGGAGACAGTTTTTTTGTGGACCCACAGAATGTTTGTTTTCTTTTTTAAATACCCAAATAAGCTTTATTCTAGTGAAGTGTTCTCGGCTCTGAAACAAAAAATGTTCCCATATACTCAAAACATTCACCTGGCTGCAGCTCCAGACTTAATTTTTGATGACATCACAAATTTGAGTTATAGTGCTCAAATTTTGGATTTTAGAGAGAGTTGTTCATGTTTGCTCATATTTTTGGACTATTTTAAACCATTGGAATAAAACTGAACTTTGAAAATGGGCATAATTAGTTACTCTTTGAATTCTGATGCATGTTCCAGAAAACCCATCACAGCTAAAAGCCCAGATTCTTTAACATAGATGACAAACTACTAAAATTAAGCAGCTGTTAACCTCCTCTGGCTAAATGGGACCAGATCTTTGCAGCCAGGTTGTAAAAGCTTGTGGACAGCCCTTGCAGATGAGCTGAAGCTTTTATAGCAACAAATCATTTTGATGCCCATGGTGCTATAATTTGGGCGTCCACATACATTTGGCCATGTATACTGTATTTTTATGATGTATAATATGGATGTGTGTCCTGAGGGAAAATGGTGGCAATTACACAAACAGATGGCAAACACACTTGTTTTTTGTACGCAATCTATTAAGATAATTAACACTGTTAATTATGGTTTGTGTGATGGAAACAAAAATAGAACAAGATCTGGGTGGTAAATTAACATATCAGTAACAAACACAGAGCAGCGCTGTGCTGCTAAATGAAGCAAAATACACCAACAGATCTATTTTAGTCACAGTGTTGATTTATTGATTGTTTCTGACTGAAAGCCCGTAATGAGAGTGACTTTTGAATGCCTGAAAGTACTGTTATTTTTGCCTCCTCTAATTGTCTGTTTGTGCGTGCTGCTTCAGGAGAACGGCGTGGAGTTTGAAGCTTGCCTCGTGGCCCAGTGTGACTCGCTGATTGAGGCGCTCACCAGACAGAAAGCCAAACTGCTCACCAAAGTCACCAAGGAGAAGGAGTACAAGCTAAAGGTAGGACTGATTCATTGTTTAGTTTTTATGTCTCCGTGCTGGCTGGAGAAATTATGTTTTCGGGTTGTTTGTGTTGGTCTGATTCTAGTGAATGTAATATCTTAAGAACACCTACCTGGACTTAACGATGAACTGAGTAGAATTTGGTGGTCAAAGGTCAAGGTCACTGTGACCTTCTGTCCATCTTATTTTCGCGAATGTGATATCTCAAGGCCTTGAGGGAATTTCCTTAAATTTGGCACAAACGTCCATTTGGACTCTACGATGAACTGATTAGATTTTAGTGGTCAAAGTGTCAACAGTCAAGGTCACTCTGACTCGGTCTGTCTAATTGCAGTGAAGGCGATATCTCAAATATCTCAAAAACCTTGAGGGAATTTCTTCAAATGTGTCACATATGCCCACTTGGACTCATTGATGATTGGAGACTGATTAGAATTTGGTGGTCAAAGGTCAGTATGACCTTGTGTCCGTCTCATTCTCATGAACATGATATCTTCAAATTTGGATCAAATGTCTACCTGGACTTAACGATGAACTGAGTAGAATTTGGTGGTCAAAGTTCAAAGTCACTGTGACCTTCTGTCCATCTTATTCTCGCGAATGTGATATCTCAAGGCCCCAAGAGAGTTTCTTCAAATTTGGCACAAACGTCCTTTTGGATTCAACAATGAACTGATTAGATTTTAGCGGTCAAAGTGTCACTGGTCAAAGTCACTCTGACCCAGTCTGTCTAATTGCAGTGAGGGTGATAACTCAAATATCTCAAGAAAACCTTAAGAGGATTTCTTCAAATTTATCACAGTTTTTTTTTAGACTCAACAATGACTGAAGACTGATTGAAATTTGCGGGTCAAAGGTCAAAGTCAGTGTGACCTTGCATCCATCTCATTCTTGTGAGTGTGATATTTCAAGAAGGCTTTGATGTAATTTACTTAAAGTTGGCAAAGTTGTCCACTTGGACTCAAGGATAAACTGATCAGAATTTAGTGGCCAAAGGTCAAGGTCACTGTGACCCCACAAAACATGTTTCTGGCCATAACTCAAGAATTCATACTCTAATTATAACAAAATTTCACACAAATGTCTACTAGGATAACATGATGAAGTGATGACATTTTATATCCAAAAGGTCAAAGGTCAACTTCACTGTGACATCATAATGTTCTGCAAAAACACTTTTCTGGCCATTACTCAATGTTATATCTTGGGAACAGAAGGGGAGACATTTGGTCAAATACTGGGTGACACTAACCTTGGGTGTCCATCTTGAAATTGTGCTGATTGTATAGAATATGTGGCTTCTTTGCAGCAACATCCCTACCTGTCAAGTGTCATTTCTACATATGAGTCTGGACACACATGGATGTGAACTGTAACTGCAACTTGAGTTGTTCACGAAGGAATACAAACGTCAGGCTGTGTGGCTGCATTCCCACCCCAACCTGTTAATAAGCTGAATTTATGATAATTCTTCTGATAACTGTGATAATAAAATACTGTTGAATATGAATGAACTCTGGTTCCATCAACTGGATTATGCAGATTACAGAGTCATCAATAAACAGCAACATGGAACATTTATTGATGGTGTCCAACTGATACTCTTCAGGAAACCTTTCAACATATACAAGACACATTGTCAATACAGCAAACACCTCATCTCTCTTCATCAGCTCATTTCTTATCTGACGAGTATAGAAATGAACTCTCCTTTCTTCCTTCCTTTTTTCCATCCTTCCTCCCTCTCCCATGTGAAGCAAATTTGGTGTTACTTGGTTTTAAGTATTTCGTCTTTTGGTCTGTCTGCTTTATCTACCTGTCTGTCTGCTCTTATGAGCCAGAACTGCAGTTATGTGGGCTACCCATGTCCTGCTCTCTCTGTTCTAGCACTTCTTCGTGTAGTTCTCAGTGTATCAGGAACAGCATGATCGTGAGTCAGAAATCTGTGAAACTTCCAAATATCTTTAGGTCAAAAAAGGCTGTTAATCTGTTATAGGAATTATGAAAAAGAAAAAAACACAGCAGTTTTGTAAAGCTTTGGAAAACTTGGTTTGAAATATTAAGTGTTTCTCTTTAACATTAAATATTGATATGACTAAATAAGCAACAATTAAGTTAGGAATAAACATTTTTTGTTAAATATAAATAACTCACAAAACAACTAACCAATGTCATCAGATTCAGATTTTGATTATATGCTGTTGAATTCTGATATGTGCATAAATATACCTGACAATAAATACATTAATGCCTAGTTCAAATTAGTGAGAAGAGAACAGACAAATAACAATCAGTCATATAAAATAACCATTTCTTTTTGTAGTCCATAAGTAAGAAGCTGATGAGAAAAATATGTTTCAGTCTCCCTTTTTTTTTTAACTTTCCTCTGTAAATCCACTGCTGGGGTTTTCCCAAGCAGCAGTGTATCACATGGACGCCTGCCCAGCCCCAACGTGCCCACCGACCGACTGACCGTCTGGCTGGTGGCGGGGGAGGAGGGGGGGTGTTTGGACGGAAGCCCCGAGGACAGCTGTTGTCATTATCTGCAGGCTGGGGATTGAGATTTAGCCAGAGGGCAAAGAGCTGGAGGCTGTGCTGGAGCTGGAACAAGAGAAGAATAGCAGCGTGTAGATGGATGATAAACATTTTGACACAAATGAATATTCAGGACATTGTTTCTGTCTGATAAAATTAACAGGCTTCTATTCGTGGAAGAAAATGGACATACATTGGCTAAAATGCTTAAAGGGAAATTTTGGTTTATTTCAACCTGTCTCCTATCGTCCTAAATTTGTTTCAAGTGACTAGTGACATAAAAATAATAGTTAGCATGTTAGCCGTTAGCCTAGATACAGCTGGGGCGCATAGTAGCATATACAGTCTATGCATCAGACCTGTTGAACGGGCAATCTCCAAGTGCAAAGTTAGTCCACTAAACAAGCTTTTTTTCCACAAAGACCACCTCATATCATTAGGATAAATGTCAGAGAACATAGAAAACGACATGTTAACGTGTTGTCTTACCTTTCCGGTGTGGTGCCGTGTTTGTTTACCATCTAGCACTGCTTTCCAAAGCGTGGCCGAAATATCGCGAGAACAAGCAGCGATCTCATACTGTGCCTGAAATCTCGCGAGAACAAGCAGCAGCAGCAGCTGTAAGGCAGAACCGGACAGTAGCCTGAAAAGTTCATTCATTTATTTTATGAAAGATTTATAGAATAATGGCTGACTTTTTGCCAGACTTCGACTTTGTGGAGGAGGAATTTGATTTTGCAGAGTTTGATGGCCGCCCTTATTTATTTGAGCCAGAATACACTGACGAAGAGCTTCGTGAAATTGAAGAACAGAGGAGGAAAGAGAGAGAGGCGCAACAGGTAGAGGACGAGAGAGGAGGAATGGCTGCTGCAAGGCTGTGTAGCTGTGGAGATTGGTGGTGTATCTGTGAATGCTGTTCCCCAGTGCCCACAGAAGAGGAATGCCTCTGTTGCAAGGAATTGGACCGGTTGCAGCCTTATTTTCAAGGTCTGGATGTGACTGAGGATGAGACACCTCCACCTGGAGTAGTATCCAGCTGGGCTTTATCTAGAGCTCGAGAGATTTCAGGCAGGGTATGAGATTGCTGCTTGTTGTCGCAATATTTCGGCCGTGCTTTGGAAAGCAGAGCTAAATGGTAAACAAACATGGCACCACACCGGTAAGGTAAGACAACACGTTTACATGTCATTTTATTTTTATGTCATTAGTCACTTGAAACAAATTTAGGACGATAGGAGACAGGTTGAAATAAACCGAAATTTCCCTTTAAGCTCAAAACCAAAATTTGTCAGCGCAGTAAAGCAGCTGATGATGCTTAAATCTGTTGCATCAGACATCCAGCGCTGATTATGATTTCCAAGAAATTAATAATATGGCATGTAACATAGATAGAAGAAAGATAAAAACATAAATGAGTAAAATAAGGAGGTACTGTACTGCATTTTTAATAATACGCTTGTATAAAACCTTTCGAAACAACGCTCTAAAGGGCCTTACATGAGGAAAAACAAAAATAAAATATTTACCCAGAAATAAGATAAAAATTGAATGAAAAAAAAACCCCACATAAAACATGGTGGAACCAAATTAAAAAATGAAACTCTGGGGTGAAACACCTTAATGACCGGTATACACTGTGCGATTTTGGGACGAAAGATGACCATCGTGGGAAAAACGTGGTGATATCTTTGGTCGTGGCTCTAAAACGGTGGTCTTACATCGCACTGTGAGACAGGTTCAAGGACGGCCGGTTGATAGTACAGAAATCCATTTACTCACACTCAGCCAACCGACTTTCTTCCATGAAAGAGGACAGCCAGTCAGCCAGTAACAGGCCCATTTCTTTTTCTAATGTTGTGATTGGCTGGATACAAACAAATATTAAAAAAGCTTTGGGTCTAGAGGTGTCTGTATGGATAGAATAGAGCATTTCATTAAGAACTCAAAGCTGTGTTTATCAGAGCTGGTGCACTATGAGTTCTTTTTTGATAGCATGTATGTACAGTATATCTACAGTAGCTTTGTATCACCATCATAACAATGATGACACTCCTCTTATTCCTTTTTTATGTCTTTAAAAACTCCGCACTACATCACAATTTGGCAGAATAATATTGAGTTCTATTTAAATGGCGTATATGGTCATAATGTGCAGATTTAATTTTAGCCAGGAATCTTCACACATTAGTTGCAGTTTTCACACTATACCCACAACACCCAAAAACACAATACAACTTCTTCATAAATGAATTATGGGACTGAACACAGCTTGTGTTTGTACTTGGACCACTTCAAGCAAAATGTAAGTTAGGCACTTCTGAGAAAGAGGAAGTGTGCTGCATTTAATAGTGCCAGTGGAAGGAGCAGATTTATAAAAGATGATCTGTTTCAGTGGATCTTCATATGATCTGACTGTGAACTCACCCTTTGCCCTCCCCCTTTTTTTTTTTTCAAAAGCACTT